ACTCGAAAAATCGTTGTACGGATTGAAACAATCTTCTAGACAATGGTACAAACGATTTGACAAGTTTATGTTGCAGCAAGGGTACAAGAGAAGCAAATACGGTCATTATGTGTATTTGCGCAAGCTTAAAGATGGTTCCTTTGTATATCTTCTCCTATATGTTGATGATATGTTTATAGCTTCCAAGAATTCGGAAGAAATTGATAAGTTGAAGATTCAACTGAAGAAGGAGTTCGAGATGAAGGATCTGGGTGAGGCAAAGAAAATTCTTGGCATGGAGATAATAAGAGATAGACATTCATAAAAACTCTGTTTATCTCAGAAAGAATATTTGAAGAGAGTACTACAGCGTTTTGGCATAGATGAGAAGACTAAGCCAGTTAGTACTCCACTTTCTCCCCATTTTAAGCTAAGTACTACTATGTCGTGAAAAGATGAAGCTGAACGGGAGTATATGTCAAGGGTACCATACGCAAATGTTGTTGGTATCATTTCGTATGAGAAATCATAGAAGAAGGTGGAGTCACGGTGAAGAAAATTCATACTACAGAGAATCCTGCTGATATGCTGACAAAAGTGGTGACTGCGGTCAAGTTTCAAAATTGGATTTGATCAACATTGTTGAACACTGAAGATTGAAGATGAAGACACAACCAAAATTTGTTATTGAGAGAAAATTGAAGATGTGGAATTTTGCCAAGGTGGAGATTTGTTGAAGATGTCAAAGTCCCACATCGTGAATTTGGCAATTTGGTTGGGAATTTTTCCCTATAAAAGGAGGCCTAATGTTTAGGATTTAGGACACAAATCTCATTTGCCTTCTCATCTTCTTAAGACATTTCTTTCTTCTCTCTTTAGTATTATTTTACTTGTATTTTTGGAGTGGAATAAAATATTGGTTGTGTCTGAGGAAGTAGGCAAAAATTGGCCGAACCTCGTAAATTCTGGTGTTCCTCTTATTGTTGTCCTATTGTCTTATTTATTATTTAGTGGATGCTATAATTTTGGTATAGTAGTTGTGACTTATTCACACTTTATACATTTGGCTTCCGCAACATATAAAAGGTAAAAAAAAACCCGTAGAATTACATTTGACATAGACCTTCATATTTTTCATGTCACTATTTTTATTTGGCAGGTAGTTTTTTGGTAAGTGTATACCTGGCTTAAAGCATCAGTTTGCTGCCTCGTATGATTTTTTCACTTTCTACTTTGACAGAAGTTTGGTTCTTACAATTTGTATAGTATACCTTATTTCATGATCTATTGTGTTAACTTAATTGCCAATGAATTCTTGGTGCAGGGGGTTGCGATGTTGATTTCTTTCTTTGTATCTGCTGTTTTCCACGAGGTACTTCCATCTTTTATTTTTAGACCAGAAGCAAATAATACAGCTTATGACAACTCAAAATGACTGGCTTTGAATGACATGTGATGTTGTTATCTTTAGCTGTGTATTGCTGTTCCTTGCCGACTATTCAAGTTTTGGGCTTTCTTTGGAATCATGTTTCAGGTACTGGTGTTTAAACACACGTGCATGTGTGTGTGTATATATATTGGTATAACAAGGGAGCTCTATTCATAAAATTAGTAAATACTTGATCGAAATTCATTGATCTGTATGAGTACTGACATGTAGTGGTGTTTTCTCTGATCAGATTCCCTTGGTCATACTCACGAACTTCTTGCAAAACAAGTTCAAAAGCTCGAATGTATGTCTTCCTGCGCTGTTATTCTCATGAGCTTAAGATAATTTATTCTCTTTTTACTGGTAACTTTATGTAGAGAAGCCAATTAAAGAAGTATGATATTCATAATGGGGGAACTGTTTCAGGTGGGCAACATGACATTCTGGTGCTTTTTCTGCATTCTTGGTCAACCAATGTGCGTGCTTCTGTATTATCATGATGTGATGAACAGAAAAGGTACTGCAAGTTAAGCTTCATCAGAACGCTTTGAACTGTCCAAGTGCTAAGCTAGTCCCCCGGGAGGGAGATCGGTAAAAAACTGCATCAATTGCTACTGCCACGAGTAAAGTTCCTGACAAGGAATACCTGCTGTTTTACTTATCTGTTGAAATGGACCGCATCACGTTAAAATTCTTTTGTAAATGTGATACTAGGGAATAGAGCAGAGTTGTTAATTTGTACTATATCACTCTGTTAACATTGGGGAAATGTATATCATTCTTGTTTAATGTAAGTGTAATAGTTTAATTTACAAAGTATCATAAAAGTAAACCAAGATGGGAGACTTTGAAATTTTCCTATTTCTTATGTCACATTCATAATGGTCAATATATAGTAAAGACATTCACTTATCATCATGCACGTTTATTATTTGCGTACTTGTTATTGTTACTACTTTTACCATCATAAAGTAATGAACATGCTGAACTTATGAAGGCTTGTAAAACGACAGAGCAAGAAAGAACATGAGGGAATTCAATTTTAATACTATGTTTTACTAGGTCTGGTATGCTTCGTGCACGGGGCTGCCTGCCTCTACTGTGGTCTGATGATACTTTTGGAAAGTTGTTCAGCCCGGGAAACGCTATACAACTTTGTTTGAAGAAGTGTTTTTATGACTTAAAATTCAAAAAGAAAAAAAAGTATGTAATTTAATTCTATCTTTGAAAGTTATATTTAATCACATCTCTATAGTCTATAGACTGTGGTTAGTAACCTCCTTCTCCACCTTGTAAGTACCACCAATACCATCGACGTGACCAAAAGGAGACAAAACCAATAGTAGTCGGCAGCTTCACATGAATGATATGCTCCTAGATAATTCAAATAAATTCCACATTCGGACATAAAAATTGAAATTCCACATTCGGACATAAAAAACAATAGGTCAAACAAATTCAGAAATTTATGCTTCTGCAATGGAAGACTTCAGATCCAATTCATATAACGAGTGGTCAAGAACTCAACTAGAAAATTTCACTTATGTTGCTAGTGGAGCTCATGTTATCGCCACCTCAAGCCCAAGTAGAAATCACGACCTCAAGTGCTACGGTAGTAAAAACTTATTTGTACCGAGTGTTAACCCTAAACCAACCTCAAACCTAAGTGGAATTCACGACCTCAGATGTGTTATGAATCAAGCTATTGGGCCGAGAAGAAGCCACAGGGCCAGAAGACCTTCAAAAAAGTTAATTTGGGATCCAGGCCCAAGAAGTGCAATAAGGAATCGGTTAAAAGGGACTAGGCGCTAGCACAGATAGGGTAGGCTGAATTTTGTAGAAACTTCCCCACTCTGGACTCTCTCTTCCTCGACTATTTCTCTCTATGGCTCTGTCTTGCCATCCCCTTTCTTTCTGTTACTATCCTTAGTTATTTTTACCTTTTCAGTGTAATTCCTTGTTATCAGAATTAATATATCAATTTGTTATTTCTGTATTTGGTTGTGGATATTGGATCCATAACAGCTACAGTAATAAAAACTTATCCGTACCGAGTATTTTCACCAAACTAACCTCAAACCCAAGTGGAATTCACGACCTTAGATGCTACAGTACTTCATATGTGTCTTCATCATCTTGGAATAATAGCACCCAAATGGAGATGGTCAAAGAAGTAAAATTCAAGAAAGCAAAGTCAACAAATGGAACAACTTCTAAAAGGTGGGATTTGATTGACCCAGAGTTGCAAAGAAAGAAGAGGGTGGCTAGCTTCAACATTTTTTCAAATAAAATGCATGTCCAAACACAACTTTAATTTTCAAAATTTATTTTTAACACAACTTCAAAAACTCATTTTTCAAAATTCAACCAAATCTATGTCAAAACACTAGAATGGTGTTTTGTTATGATGCGTAATTAATACTAATATCATTTATCTTTTGAAGCCCCAAAACAAAAGGTATGCAAGTAAAATTAAACCAATATTCAGTGTGTTTGTTGTTCTTATTTCCTGCACTTACTTTGTTCTCAAAGTTCCCTAAATTAAAGACAATAACATTTATTATTACGCACCATTTTCAAGCAAGTTAGAGTCCATTATATGAATTCTTATTGTCGATACCCATCTAGATAATTAAAAAAAATTAGTTTCTCTAGCATTAGCAGTTCTTCACATTTTCTACTTTCTAGTGACATATAAATCTCTAACAAGACTAAAGGCTCCTAGCAAATATTGGACCTAAAATAAATATATTAACATGACTAAAACATAACCCCAAGTCCCCAACTAATTAATTGATATTTGACAATAAAAAAAGATGAGCGCTTAATTCCAATGCAGTAGGGGTCTATTATTGCAAGTCACTTGAACACCGTGATTGATGAGTGTGTAGGTCCGTTATCGCCTATATAGATCTTTTACGTCTACTGCGCCCTATTAACCCGAAAATGTTAAAAAACGAAGCAAAAATAGAACCTTAATCATGGTTATCCTTCAAGATTTAATCTAAGAGTAGGGAAGATATATAGATTAAATTCCTCCATTTCTTGTAGAACAGTTCGAGGAAAATTTGATTCAAAGTCTTGAAGTCAAAATAGCATGCAGAACAAAAGAATGAACTCTTGACTAGATTGGTCCTAAGAAGAAAATAGAAAAAGTTGTCCAAGGTAGGTAAGGAGTGAAGAATTTTGAATGTAAAATTGACTGGGAATATAGGAGAGAAAATTCAAAAATTTTAATTTTGGAGGCAAAATTGAGTATTGAAATGAGATGATAAAGTTGAAAAGGATACAGAGGTTTCATATAGCCGACTTCAACTAGTTTGAAATTTTGACTTGTAGATTGGTTGATTGACACAAACTATGCAACTCAACAACAACATACCCAGTATAATCCCACAAGTGGATTCTGGGGCGGGTAGTGTGTATGCAGACCTTACTCCCTACCTTGAGGGTAGAGAGGCTGTTTCCGATAGACCCCCGACTAACTATGCAACTCAGAAAATGAAAAAAGATAAAGACTTTGAGTTATGGTACATTTAGATGGAGCAATTAAATGGATATATTTGTAAGATTGAGGCAGAGAATTGCAAGATTGGACATAGAAACTTTGCTATGTACAAAGAGCTATCAACTCAACTACATTGGAGCAAAAAAATATGAAAGAATTTTACTTGTTAATAAAAGCCAGCCTTCAATTACAAAAGAGGCAAAAACTTTGAAAAAAGATGATTAGGCTCAATAAAAGCCATGCATCTTGTACATATAAAGCAACATGAATGAACGAATAAATTACGATTTTTGTTAGTTTGTTACATCTGTTGGTGTTGTCTTCTTTAGCCGAGGATCTATGGGATACATCCTCTCTACCCTTCAGGGTAGGGGTAAAGTTGCGTATATGTTACCATCCCCGGACCCCACTTATGGGAATTTACTGAGTCTGTTGTTGTGTCGTTGTCTATAGTCAAAGGTGAGGACACCAAAAAAACCAGAAGTTTATCAGCTGCTGCAAATGCAAAAATGTTGCTTAGTTAGCTGCTGAAATAGGTGTCCTTGGACTAGGTAGTCCCATATGTGCAATCCTAGGAGAGAGACGAATCTTCGGGCTTGGCCTTGGTGAGGGGATCGGACCATATATGTTGAAACCTCCGTTAGCCACCCGAGGTGACAAGTTAACTTGTTCAAGTGCTCGGTATTGTAATTCTGTAGGGTAGTCTCTAACACAGCCAATGCGAGGTCCATTTCCTGTTGACCATTTGCAAGATAAACGTTTAGCAAAGCTAAATGATGATTGTGTCTTGTTGTTGATGATGTCTTCGCGATCATCGTCTGTTGTGACTGCTTTTGCCTCAGTTTGATCATTTACAGCAGAAGCGCTTCTCTTGGGTGATTCTTTTGCAACAGAATGATGGACAGGTGGTTGGCGATTTGAGCCCTCGTTGTTAACTTTAAACGAAAGATCATCATCATCAACTGAACATCTCTGAAAACACAAAACAGAATATTGTTGTTAGCAATGTATTCTCTATTACTATAACATTTTAAGCAATGAGGAACATGTTCAACAGTTCAAGACACAAATTTGAACAATTACCTTAACATTTGTAAGATCAACGTTGTGTTCCTCGAGGAAGCCAATGAATTCCCTGAAGTTCTCTTCTGTGGGATGATAGTGCCCGCTGTATGGCCAAATAGCCTGCAGATAACATGGAAAAGATAAGTAAATTCATTTTGTATAATATCGATAAAGATTAAAAGGGCAGCCCGATGCACTAAGCTCCCGCTATGCACGGGGTCCGGGGAAAAGCCGGACCACAAGGGTCTATTGTACGCAGCCTTACCCTGTATTTCTACAAGAGGGTATTTCTACGGCTCGAACCCAACGACCTTCTGGTCACATGGCCTTCTATATTGATAAAGATTGCAGAGATATATTTATTGTGCATTTATATAAAAGATCGTTCGATTATTACCTCTAAAATACCACCATGAGAAACCAATCTTCCAGCAGCAGTAATGGCACCACCGGATAGAAAACTCGAATGTTGAAACACACCTTTCTTCTTTTTTCCAACATACAATGTTCTTGTTGTGCTAAGAACAAAAATCCACTTTGATCCTTCCACTGTCTCCACAAAGACACCACTTTGTTTATAGACAAGTTTCCCATTCTGAATAACTACTTCATACGATTCGCGTTCTTTCTGTAATAGCAAAAAGGAGAAGCAATTAAATTTCCAAGAATCATCATAAGATTCATTGAAGGGAAGCCTTGGAGCAACGGTAAAGTTGTCTCCGTGTGACCTATAGGTCACGGGTTCGAGCATCAGGATAGACTACCTACATCACACCCCCTCAGGATGCGGTCCTTCCCCGGACCCTGCATAAACGGGATGCTTCGTGCTGCCCTTTTTTAATCATTATGTTGTAAAAAGAATCCTTAGACAGAATCCGGACTTACCGGCCCGAGATATTTGATGCATTGATGCTGCAGATTGGTTCTTGGACACTTCTCAAGATTGATTTCTTTCCCATCTCCAACATCCAACCTTCAAAGAACAAAATTCATGATGTAAGAAGACGTTCGCTCGGAGATAATCCAACTCATCGATACGTTTGTTAAGCATTTCTATTCATATAGTAAAGGTGCCAACAGATAACTCACCAGTAGAAGAAAGGTTGAGAGCTTTCGCTTTCAAACCATACATCATAGTAGAAGTGTAAGTTGTGGCCATACCGATGTCGTGGATCAATCTACACATAGGATTAGAGGAAAGAAAGAATCAGTATCGTAATTAACAGACTTTAGATTAACAGAGTTATATGCCATATAACTCAAGATGTCAAAAAAAATTCAACAACTTACAGCTTCTAACCAATGTTGCAGAGCAAGTTTTTGAGCTTTCTCATCTTTTGACAATCCTTTTCCAACTTTAGCAGCTCTTGTACGCGCTCTAGCCCACCGCGATACAGCAGTTTCTGGTTTCTCCCCATTAAAGAAAGAAACAGAACTCCTTTTTAGAGCTGCAAAATCCAAAGCTTTCCACCTTCACACATATAACACACAACCACTTCAATAAACCGGACGATATAACAGAAACATTACATCAACAACAACAACAACATATCGAAAGAAAGTTTTCCCTTCTTTCTTGGACAAGTTGCATCATTTGGCCGGTCGGTCAAAAATAATTGCATCTGCTAGCCAAGTATTCCAAAAATATACACTGATTATCAAAAAATAATAGCCGGCAAAATGTATATTCTTTGTATAATAATGCATAATATACATATTTTATGCATAATCAATGTATATTTTTTGTATATTTGGCTAGCGGATGTAATTAATTCTGGCCGACAGGCCATATGTGTAACGTGCCACAATCAAGAATCATTTTTTTCCAAAAAAGTAAGACCACATACCATAGTTCTTCAACCACAACAGCACAATCCGCGAGATTTCTTCTTGTCCTATAACTCTTGTACACTTTTTGTAGCTTAACAGCAGCAGCATCGAGCTCGCTAACAGGATGCGGAGAAAACAGAATCGAAGGCTCGGGTAATGAAGCTGCTCTTGTCTTAGTTTCGTTCCATTCTGATATATTTATGTCTTGAACCAGATTCTTGAATGATAGAGTTGTCTCAAGCATCAGCTTCTTCGGTTCACAATTCCTTAAATTTATCGAATTCTTTCGTGTCATCTTATCGACACCATGTGATTGAATTATTGTTTCCAAATGTGTTCCTTTAAAACTATTCGATCGTACTGTCATCTCCAAGTTTTATATTAATACTATAGAGCCTTTTAACCTGCAAATTTGTTAAGACAGTTCCATTAAGCCAAAGTTATCAAAGAAAGAACTAAAAATTGAAAACTATAACTAGCAAATATAACTATTCAGAAACAGATTTCCCAAGTGTTGTTATATAGAACATATATTATAACATAATATGAAAATTGGTTTCGGAAAAGCTTGGCTTTTATAGTGAAGTTTTGTTATATAGGGATGTTGTTATAGAATGGTCTGACTGTATATGAAAAAACCATTAAAAACTTTATCTTTCTAACTCTACTTAGAAGCAGAAACCTCAACTATTTCAATTTCTTGAGCTAAATTATCAAACTTTTGATCAAAATTGAACTAAAGCCTATCCAAAAAGAGGTCAAAACTCAGTGTTTTCGACACGAAACATAGCTATATCTGTGTGAAATAATCACTTAGATTTTCCGATAGTTTCAAAAGCATAACGTGTTCAATGCTAAGAACTTTAAAGATCGAAGAGAAAGCCTAAAACACAACACCCCATGTCTCAAAATAAGATCAAATAAACAAAATAAGACTGGCACAAAAAAAAAAAAAAACAATTACCTGAATATTAGAAGAACCAAAAAATATCTCAAAGTTGTAAAGAGAAAAATCCTAAGTTTTTTTTTTTCAACTGAACACAAAGATGTATATGAATATGACTACCCTGTGTATACTTATATATATAATATAATCAGAAGCTAAAAGCGTGGATTTGTAGAGAAAAGAATTTAATATTTTGAGTCAAAGAGTTCGTCTAACTAAAGAATAGCACGTGGAAATGGAAACTAACAAACTGTACAGTGAATATATTACAGACAGCTACCTAAGTTTACTGAGAATTTTAATTTTTTGAATAAATGTGAATGGAAAAACTGGAAAAGAATTGGAATTGTGGGTTTGATTTTTATAACTTTCGTAAGTTTCAAGTTTGAACCCCACGAATTAATATTTGATCAAGTCAAATATTGGAAAATTTGAACTACACTTTTTGGTTTGAAAAAAAAAAAAAAACAAGAAAGCTTTTTGTGTCTTCCTTTTGTAATACAAGAAAATGAGAATATATTGGTTGGAATATTTTATGGTCAAAGAAAGTAACCTTTTCTATGAGGCTTCTTCCATGAAAAATCAAGAATGTATGGTTTTCTTGTTTAACTTTTTTTACTTCTAATTAGAACTTAAAAGTCAATTACTATAGCTTAGGGTTTTAATGGAATGATCGGAACACCTTCATTTTTAATCAGTCTCGTGTGAGGGCTGAATTGGCTGGGCTGTTAAGTTACCTTATTGGGCAAAAATCACTTTAATTAGCCGCAAAAGTGTATAAAATTTTTATTTCTTTTTGTATATAACATACAGAAATATATATAAAAGGTCAACTACTTCTGCGGTCTTGGCTCATGTAAACGCGCCCAACACGTTATCGAGTATGCTGCTGATGATGTTGGGATTGTTAGCTGCAATTTGTCTTCTACAAAATAAATTTTCTATGTCCACAATATAGAATGACATATTTGCCCTTGCTATATTTGACTTATTTTCTTTATAGTACGTAGTAGTTGATGAATTTAAAGAAACCAAAAAAAAAAAATATCTTTCTTTTAGTGTTCATTAAATGTGCAATTGGGGTTTGGGGGTTAGTTAGTTGCAAAAATAAATGAAGTGGAAACAAATATTTTTAGTATGGTTTGGTGAAAACACGGAAACACGCCAACACGTCATCAAGTATGCTCATGATATTGGAATTGCTAGTTGGATTTGTAAGCGCAGCTCGATACACAAAGCATATCGAATTCATATATAGTCCGGAGAAAGGCCGCACCTCAAAGGTGCGATATGGGCAGTGGGCCGCATCCCAAGGGTGTAATATGGGCAGCGAGCTGCGATATAGACAGTCTGTCCTAATGTAAGCATTTTTGGCTACTTATATGGCTCGAACTTGTAACATATAAGTCACACGAAAATAATTTTATCGTTGCTTCTTTAGCTGCATTTGTTTTCTAACTATATTTCCTTGGGTCCTTTTAATTGTCATGATTATTAAAAATAGTTAACTTAAAATATTTGTTATTTTATAAAATTAAAAAAGAATTATTAATTTTTCTCACCTTCACCCTTACTGTAATAAATGTGGATAGAGACTAATTTAGTGAAAACTGTTTGGGATATAGTAGATATGCCCTAGATCCAATATCATATTTGATAATTTGAACATATTTTTGTGAACGTTATTTGATATAAAATATATATATGGCATTTGATATTCTTTTATCATTGTTATTAATTGCTTGATTAATTTGATAAGGTCCTTGATTAAATTTTGAGACTTGACATTGTGATGGAGATCATGATAATGAGAGTAAAGTTTCTTATAATTTAATCTAAATTTGTTCTTGATCGTATGATTATTAATTTGGACATTAGTAATCCGGTTAGATCAATATTTATGTGATCGTCTTTATGGGATAAAGATTAGTTGATCTCATTAACTAAATTACATAGATAGATGATGCATATAGAGATATGATCATTGAACCGACTCATTGGATAATTCCTAATTGTTAGAATTACCATAAACTGTCAATAAGATATTCTCTTGAAGAATGTGATGTAAAAGTTTCCTTTGACCTGAGATCGTCATAGTAATTGACAAGTTATTTATTGTGCTTTGATACCAGGCACCTATGGCCCTAGGGCGATAGTTAAAAGGATATTGGGTATGATTAAATGCTTGTAGAATTAGTGATTGATCAAGATGAAATCTGTCAACTCGTGGTAATGAGTTTAAGCTCCATGTTGTCATGAATTATAAACGACCAAATTAAGACCTTGGCCAAGGCAATTGAATGAAAGAAGAAATGAGTTTCTTAGGTCTTTCAATGCTCGATTATATTTGACATGAACACATAATTGGTCGCCTATTAGGATTTGACAGTTGAACCATATCCTAGGGTGATCCAGAGCTATAAGGACAGAAGGAATTACTACATTATTCTTCTACGGGTTCTTTAGAGTAGATTGTATACTTCATGCTATCCGGTAGTTAAGGAGTGTTGCTAGACGCCACCCTTGATTAGTATATTGATGTGATCAACTTACTACCGGCTTAGTATTGAACCTATGGGGTCGCACACTAACGAGTGTTCTAATCTTTGCTAAAGGATTAATTACTTTATTATTGTTAATTAATTAAATAATTTAATTAGTCAAATAATTTAGTTATTAATTTAAATAAAATATTATTATGTTCTTTGCTAGCACAAAGGATATAATTAATATTGTGAAAAAAATTGAAGTTTTCTATTTGAAATAGAAAATTAAATTATCTCTTGGTTGAAATATATATATATATATATATATATATATATATATATATATATATATATATATATATATATAAAATTAATATTAACATATATGATATGTATATAAATATTAATGAAGATTAATTTTGATCAATCCAATTATTAATTGGATTGACGTGAAAATGCCGGTTTACTTCAACCCCATAAGAATGGGATTGGTAATTTTAATATAAAATATTATTTGGAGTAGTACTTAAAGTCCAATTTGGAATTGGACATTAACAGAACCTTCACGTCAAAGTCCTTAGGAAGGACGTTGGGCACCAAACCCATTAAGAATGCGATTTTGATTTTCGTTAAAAATATTCAATGAAGTTTATTTTTGGAGTAAACTTTTACCCTAAGTAAATCATTACCTCAACCAAATGGGAAAAGGGTTTAGTAAGTGATGTTATATAAAGGGTGATGGAGAAAATTTGCCGGGTTATTAATTCTTGAGAAGAAAAACACTTTGTGAAAGTGTATCTTGTTCTTCTAACATTGAGTTGAGATTTTTGAGAAAAATTTCAGCACAATATTTTGTTCAATTTTGTTCGCGGGTTTCATTGATCAAAGAGTTGATTGCAAGGATTGGTCTCGGTGTGGATACGCATAAAGTCTTCGCACTATCGAAGAATTTTGAAACGAGACTCTCTTCACCAGGTACGTCTTAGATCTGATCATTGACATGTAAATAAATTTTAAACACGAAAGGATCTGCCTAGGATTGTTATTGTCTTCCGCTGCGTGTTACGAATACCTATATGCAATCCTTCAAAAACAAGAGTAATAAATAATAGATTGAGATTAAAAAATAAAAAATAACGACAATTTAATCAAATTATCTTTTTAATTAATATTTTCTTACGATTTGTGGAAAAGCCTAAAACGACAAGTAATTTGGGGGTTGGTTGCAAATAATTGAAGTGGAAACAAGTACGTGTAGTACGGTTTGTTGGAAAATTCAAGTTGCTCTTGACCGACAAATGTGAATATGAAATGAATAGAATTTTTTTATTTTTAATTAGAGGTCTCGGGTTTGAGCTCTCGAAATAAAATAAAAAATTAGTAGGAGCGCTTCCTTTTAATAGACCTTATGCGATGCAAATTTGAATTACAGAATCTTAATGCAGATATTGAACATCGGGTCATGAGAAACAAAAAAGGTGATATCTCTTCTTGCTTAACAACAAAATTAGCTTTAATCACAATTCATATCGTTATATAATTACATATAATACCTGCAGATATACATCCACGTATAATATGTGTACAATTTTTTTAATGGCCAATAAATTAATGATAATGAAATTTCATATACCTCCTTTGATTAATCGAACCTTGTATTCGCTTTGATAGTGAAATAAAAATAATTTATATATGTGCTTACTTCGTCCTTTTATGTAATGTATGTTGTAGAAGACATTGGAAGGATAGGTTCAGCAAAATAAATTTTATGCTTCGAATGCACTAATATAATTATCATCTACTAAAATCCGAAGTAATGATGTTTAGAGTCATTTAGACTATTTTTAATGATTTATGAATATTAGTAAAAAAACTAATAAACTTCTCAGTTGATGAAGAGTTTCTGTTGATGTGAGCAGAACTATCTACTTGAATTATAAGATAATGGCGCTTTATTCTTATTTCGAGGAGTAGATTATTGAAATACTTTATCGCTTTTCCTATTGTTGCTCTCGTCCCGTCCAGTTTCGTCCCAGTGAATAATATTAATAGGGGTGTTTATTGATGAAGATCGAGAATTAGCTCAATCTATAATGAAGAACTGATGAAACAGAAAGTTCTAGAAAGAGAGCTTCATAGAGAGCAAAATGAACTGAGCTATTCTCATTGATTGTGTTCGATCAATACAATGCTATACACTATTTATATATACACTAATTCACTAATCAAGCTTACTCCTCCACTAACTCCCTAACAACCAATCCAATAATTAGTTACAACTAACTACACAACTAACTACTTTGGTTACGTAATTGTCATGTGATACTACTCTCTTCAATACTCCCCCTCAAGCTAGGTGGTGCAAATAGATTGAGCACTCTTAGCTTGCTCATCAAGTACTCGTGTTGTGACCTTCCCAGTGCCTTTGTGAACAAGTCTGCCTCTTGATCCTTGGACATTACATACTTTGTCTTGACAATCCCTTGTTGTACCTTATCTCTTATGAAGTGTAGGTCTATCTCTATGTGCTTTGTACGTTCGTGAAATATAGGATTAGAATTGCTGCTTTACTGTCACAGTGCAGCTCCACTGGCAGCTCAACTTCTGCTCCGAGTTCTTTACAAAGTCCTGT